TAAAATTTATTCTTTTCGTAAAATATTTTGAAATGTACTTATATAATTTGTTATTATTATGATACACTACAAACATATAAAGCAATGCAATATATTGTTTCAATAGTTAAAAAACCTTATATTTATACAGTGTGCTATATTTTTGCGAAGTGTAAGAGGAGTGAGTACTTTATCATTAGTTTACTAATGAAATTAAAAAATGTTGATATTTTATTCAAAAAATAAAAATTTTACTGAGTCAGGCCAATATTTGACAAAAAATGTTTAAATGTACAGTTTGCAACTTTGTTCATTATAATGCTTTCGCTTCTGCTCTTCGCAGGCAACTGGCATAACACATATTTGATGTAAACAGAAAAACAAGAGTTTCTTAAGTCATGTAAGAAGATCAACATAGCAGAAAAATACAACGCATCCTTGAAATTTGCGGCCGTCAACATAAATACCGATGCGACTGTATTTGATTTTACAAGTACATTTTCATTATGAATTTCAATTACATAGGATGAACTCGACAAATAATTAGTTCAAATAAATAATTCTCTTGTTGTGCGATAGTTAGAATATCAGGATATGTTTCTAACGATGCTGAACAGATATGATAATGTGCGCAGACTATTTTATAAATTGAATGCATCAATTTCCTCACTGAACAAATTATGAGACTACACCAAAACTGTTTATCTACTTTTTTATTTGAATAACTTATTATTATCAAATTATTAATTAGTAATAGAAAAATCGTTTTCCGAAGTATTAACAAAGGCTGTCATCTCTTCCGTATCATTGACATTACCAGAAAATTAAAATGACTGTACCAAAAATAGGAGTACATTATAAATTAAACCTTCGTCGCATGTACAAGAGCTGTAAAAAGTGTTCGTACAGTGACTAAAATGCTAAATAATAATATTTATTAAATAATATTTTTTAAACAAACATGGTACATCTATTCTTCAAAGTCTATAGAACAACAATATCAAATAAATAAAAAAAATATTCATATTGTTTATATAAATATCAAGAAAAATGAACAAAGTGACAGAAATGAACGCGTAATAAGTATTCGTACAGTTACAGATTATTAGATCTACAGATTATTAGATTCAAATCTTATTGTGTAAACATAACGTGATTACTTTCAAACTTTGCTCACTTAGTAATCGACTTGAGAACGTTGTCTGGAATTGTAGCAATGACATACAGAGCAGTATTTATCATTACTGTAGCAACATGAGTAAGGAGACGAAAAAGTACTGTAG